CACATCACAGAAGGGGACATCCAAATGGCAGGTGGGGACACGTGTGCTCAGCATCTGCCATCAGAAGAGGGAAAGTGACCCAACGGTGCTGTCACCACACGTCGCCCTGTACCACCAAAGTAACTAAGAACAGTCAGACACGCAGGAAAACACCCAGTCTGGTGAGGATGCGGGGCGGCCGGCAGCCTCGTGTCCTCCCACTGGAAGTGTGGAGCGGCACCGCCACTCTGGGACACCGAAAGGTTCACTGGAGTCACGCATTTTCTTTCCCGTGACCTCGCCATTCCACCCCAAGCACAGAGCCGGGGGAGATGCACACGTGTGCCCACCAGAGGTCACACTGAAGAGTGCCCGTGGCAGCCGGACATGAGACAGCAGACTCCTGGGAAGGGAGCCAGCCTTCAGCGGAACGGCGAGATCTTCAGTGCGGAATTCACGCGCAGAAGCCTGTCGCCAGCCAGGCACCCCGGCGTGACCTCGGACAGGATGGCGAGCCAAAGAAGCCTGAAACCAAGGAGGACGGAGATCAAAAGCAGGCCAAAGTGGTGGGCAGTGTTAGAAGCCAGACGGTGTTTTCCTTGGCTGGGGGCAGCCGAATGACTGGGGGGCTGGAGCGGCCCTTCTGGGGTGCTGGGACGCTGGCAGTGCTCGCGGTCTCTCCCATCTAAGAATTCAGACCCGCACGCTTCTGATTCGGGCATCGGACTGTACGTAGATGTGTTGTGTCTCAGCAGAATTTTTAGAAAAGGAAGGGAAGGGTCAGCAGTGCTTCTGAGAAATTGTGAAAGATCAGGTTATTTCCGGGAGTTCTGCAGACTGGAAACGACGCGATGACAATCGTCCCCCGTTCGACGCGGGCACCGTTGCTGCCCCGATGCCGCAGACTGCGTGGCTGCTGGCGGCGGTCCTGGCGGGAGTGACGGGTGCCCAGCGGCCCCCTTCTCCCATCTGAGCCGAGTGTCCGCCCTCCGGGCTGTGGCTGGCGGCCACGTGGGCCAGTCTCAGGCCAGGTGAGGCCCAGGCGGTGTGTGTGGGCTGGCTCCCGCCCCTCACGGGGCACCGTCCGTGGTCTGTGCTGCCGTTGGCCAGCTCGGCACAGATTTCCAGCAGAGGTGCGCGTGGCCGCGGCCGCGGCGGGAAAAACACGCCTCACCTTCCTGTGCTCCCCAGAAATCCTGCCTCACCGCCCCGCTGGGCACAGGGCGGGAGGGCCCCAGCTCTGTTATTTCATGTGGCTGTTGGGGGAAGGGTTGCTACAGTCCTGCCAGTTCCGACGTTCTGGGCTTTGACAAGTCTCCAGAAACTTCCGTTAGCTCACAAACAGTCATTTACTCTGTGGAGAAATTGATGACCAGGCTTGGGCTGTGAAACAGAAGCAGTTTTCCCAGGCCTGGGACCGGCGCGCACCCTGACCCCTGCCCTCCCACGGGTCACGGGTGTTCCTGCGCGGAGCCCAGGGTCGGAGTGTGCGAGAAAGTGGCCCGTTTCCCAGAGCCCCCGGGAACCCTGGGACCCTGGTGTGCCTCCTCCCCGCCTCCCTGAAGGCGCCGCAGGCCTTGCTTCTTCTCACGGGAAACCACTCACAGCCCCGAGGTCCGGCAGTCACGTTGGTTTGTGGGTCTCTTCCGTACAGAGCGGGACCCAAACCGTCGGCCTTGGAGGGAGGAGAAAGCCCTCTTTGTTGGCCGCCTCCTGAGCTGGAAAACCATCACAGGGCTGTCCCCTCCACGCCGGCCCCAGCGTCTTGCCAGCAAATCCCTAATCCCCAAATCGGGTCTTTGTGAGGAGAATAAAGGGACACTTTCTGATCCTTGCACGAGGTCAGGCGTTCAAGCCATTTCTTGCTGCCCTGTCTTGACACGAGCCGCTCAGGGAGTGCGGCCCGTACCTGGGGAGGCGTGGGTGGGCCGTACCCCGGGAGGCGAGGGCACCTGGGGAGGCGAGGCACGCAGACGCCCTTTGCTCCCAGCTTTCGTGCTGCTTCCGCGGAGCCCCAGACTCCGGGGGAGGTCACATGGTGCCCCGTGGCACGTCTGTCACGGGCATGTCTGACTGCTTCCGTTAGTGGGTCTGTAGGGATCCTTGTATAGGAGCACTGTGGTCTTCCAGTGCCTTCTCCGGGGGCAGATGCAGTGAGGGTTCCTGTGTCCTGTCCCCGGCTGCACAGTGAGGGGGCCCCGGGGCAGCTGTCACCTCGGGGGATTGTCGCATGTCCCTGGGAAGCACCAGGCCCTGTGGAGCCTCCCGCTGCTGCTGATCTGGGACGGCCTGGGGGGGCGGGGGTGGGGGGAGGCAGTGCACACGCTCCCGTCTGGGGGCGACACCGTGGCTTCCACGCAGGAACCCGCGTCTGTGTCCCGAAGCCTGCCCGCGCTCACCTCCTTTCCTTGTGCGCCTGTGGACGGCAGTGAGGTTTCCCGTCCTGACCCCGGGGTGGGGTGTCAGCCCCGTGCCGTGGGGGTAGACCCTGGGCTGGGGGATCCGGGGAACTCCCCAGGGCCTTGCCACCTGGGCCAAGGCGCCGGCAGGCAGCAGGGGGGCCCCACAGGGTCGCTCCTGTGGGGGGCGCTGCTGTGTGGCGGGCACCGGGGGGGTGTGGGGTCGTCGTCCCGTTCTGCAGATGAGGACGCCGAGGCCCGGAGAGCGTGCCGGCAGGCGCTGGGCCAGACGCCGTGGCTCGGCTGCGTGCCAGCCCCTCCTGGCACTGCTCGCTTCCTCCCGCCCACATCGGGAAGGGGGGGGTGGTAATTGCCACCTTGGACCAGTAGTGCTTGTCAGCGGATTTTTTGGGTCTTTTATTTTATATTCACGTATCCACGTATTTATTTACGTAAAGGCCTCTGCTGACTCTGGGGGAAGGGGCTCTGCCCGTGGCATGTGGACTGGGGGAGGACGTGGGCTCTGGAAGGAGAGCTGGGTGAGTGCGGGCCTCACGGTGCCCTCCTTGCGCGAGGGTGAGCGCGTCCACCGCACAGGGCGTGGGCGGCACTGGAGAGAGCACCTGTCCCTCCGGGGCTCCTAGTGGTGGTCCCGTGGTCACGAGGGCCTCCCGCAGGCAGGTCGCCCGGGCTGTCCAGCCGTCCCTGTGTTTCCTCGGTGTCGTCGCCCATGCACACGTGGCTTTCAGGGTGTCCTGGGCCTGCCCGTGCTGGCGTCGGTGAGAACCGCGCTGAAGCCTTTGTGTCTGTGCACGGAGCTCCTGGCGTCCGTCTGCCGTGTCCCCAGGCCTGACGCAGGGTGGGCGGTCACGGGCCCTGAGCGCGCGCGGCACAGGCTGTGTTCTCCCTGCTGCCCAGGCCATCTGGAGGCCGCCTGGCGGGCCGTGGTGGCTGTGGCACGGCCAGCACCCTGCCACGTGGCCGAGTGGCACAGGAGAGCAGGAAGGTGGTCTCGTCATGAAGGGAAAGGAGAGGATAGGCAGGTGGTGGCTTCTGAAGCCTCCTTGCGGGCTGACCACCGCAGAGCGACATGGAGTCTGGGGAGGGAGGCCCCGAGACGGACGTCCCGCCCTGCGTCTCGGCCCCGGCCCGTCGCCAGCACGCACGAGGGGCTCAACAGGAGCTCGGGGCTGGCACTGGGTGACTGGGGGCGGCAGCTGTGTCCTGCTCTCCGTCTCTGGGCAGGAGGAGGAGCCGTGGGGCCGGATGGAGGGCAGGAGGGGAGCTGAGGAGGCCCGGGTGCGGCTTGGGGCGCGGAGTCAGCTGGGGAGGAAGCTGCTCCAGCCGTGGGCTCGGACTCACGCCCCCCACTGCCACCCCTGGGCTGGGTGCACCATGGAGCCTTCAGCTGGGTTTCACTTGCTGCCTCTTGTGGGTTCCTTGGTCTCTCGGCCCCAGTGTCCTCGTTCGTAAAACGGGCCCGTAGTGCTTTGTCTTTTGCGGGTGGTCAGGAGTGTCAGAGACAGCTGGCTCGAAGGAGATTTGACACTGGGGGGCCGGGGGGGACCTGGGGCTGCCGGGTGGCTCCGCGTGTCCTCCAGCCTTCCCGGTTGCCCTTTTGGTTTCTTTCTCTTACACACACACATGCACACACGCGTACCCACGCTCACCTCTCTGACACGAAGGAGAGCTTGACTGACCCGGGGGTGGCGGGAGGGGGGGGACCTGGGCTGTGCCAGGCCCAGAATCCCGATGGGGGCAGGGCCGAGGCGTGCACATCCTTTGCGTGAAGCCGCAGCTCCGGCGTGGGGCTCATCCCTACCTCTTGCTCTCCTCGCCCCTGTGCGGTGCCCAGGGTGGAGACAGCCCCCCGCAGGCACCCCAGCTCCCCCGCTCAGGACCCGACACTCGCCGCATTTGTACTCAGAGTATCCCGTCAGAGAGCAGATGGTTAATGGAAGGGAAAAGCCGCCGTTTTACTGGATCCCCAAATTCGGTAAACTAAAGAAATCAGTAAAGAATGAAACCACACGAAAAACCCTCTGGCTTCTCTTCCCCGCGGCCTGGTCACAGCGAAGGGGTTCGCAGGACGACACGCGGTCCCCGGTGGCACGCAGCCCCAGCCGTGTGGGAGCCCACGCCTCGGTTTCCGCAGCTCCCGCTGGGACCCACGGCCGCCTCCGGAACCGGTGGGCGCGTGGCCTCCCGTGAGAAGCTGCGGTTTGTGTTGGTGTGTGAACAGGTTTCACCAGGAGCTGGGGACGCCAGGACTCCTGCGCTCTGGCGGGGTTGTGGGGGTCTGCCGGGGGCGCCCCGTAGCCGGGCCTGGGACGGCCAGAGGCCGGCATGGCGTGTCCACCGGACCCTGATCGCTGGGGCAGCCCTGTGAGGGCGTCCCCCCCAGGCAGCCCGCCAGAGGCCCCGTCGGGGCTGCAGAACCCGGGCCGTGGGGCCTCTCCCCTCCCAGGAGTGTGGGGTGGGGGGGAGCGTGCGCAGCCCCGGAGGCTCCTGGTGCCCAGAGCCGAGCACTTAGCCCCGACGTGGAGCTGCCGCTGCCGGCCCGGAACAAGGCCGTTTCCTGGGCCGCACCCAGGCTAACCGGCCTATCTCTGTTGCCAGCAGAGTCCCCGGGCCCCTTTTGCTGAGCTGCCCGATGATGAGAAGATCTTTAACGGGGGTGACGGCATGTGGCAGGGCCAGGAGCAGGCGCTGCTTCCCGAGATCACTGAGGAGGACGAGGAGGCCATCCGGCTGCGCGAGGAGGCCATCCTGCAGATTGAGGTGAGGCCCTGGCCTGGCGAGTGTGCGCGTGTGTGCAAGCGGGGGCGTGACCGTGTGAGTCCCCACACCGGTGGCCCCTGTCCCTGGACACCGGAGGTGCATCGGGAATGCAGGAGGGCTGCTGGCCCTGCCAGTGGGGGGCTTGAAGCCCTGTGAGCCCCGCCCCCCCCTTCTCCCCTCAGCCTCCCTCTGCTCATCTGCAGGGGGAGGGGGAGCCTCTTGCAGGGGCTGGGGTTCTGGACAAACGTCCTCTGAAAGCAGCTTTGTCTAGAGAAACAGGGACCTGGGCAAGATGGTCAACTGAGTCACCAGCTCAGGACCTGTTGCCGTGTCTCCTGTCCCACCCTGAAGGAGGTGGATGCCCCCCCAGAGAGGCGGGGTTCGGCCCCTTACTTCTGGGGTCCCCCCACTGCAGCCGCTGCCTCGGTGAAGCCCCCACCCCCTCACCCTGTCCTGATCCCCCAAGGGGAAGGTGCACCTGTTCGGGGCCCTGGCAGGAGGCAGCACCGGAGACAGGCCTTTGCTCTCCCTGAGACACCAGATAAGGACCAAACACGTGCACGCCCACGCCTCTCTGTTGGCACAACAGGACTGACTTTCCACCAGAGGCTGACAAGGGGGTCCAAGCATGGTCACCCTTAAAGACATGGGGGGCTGGGGTCCCTAGAGGGGGATCTGCTGTTGTCTCTGGCTCAAGAACTGAGGTCCTGCAGGAAGGGCCCGCAGCCCTGCTGTCACCGTGGGCGGTGAGGGCAGGGGCAGGGGCCAGGCGGGAGGGTGCTGCTCTCCATGATGGGGCCTCATCCTGGTGCCCAGGGAGCGGACCCTGCCGACCGAGTGCATGGCCCGGGGCGTGAGGACAAGGGTGGGGCCAGGAGCCCCTGAGTAGGTCGAGGCCCACCTCTGAGGTGGGCTGTGGGGTTCCTCGTGCCTTGCTGTGGTTCTCTGTGTGGTGAGCATAGGTGGAGGGGTGGGCTTCACCAGGGGTGATGGGCCCCACGTGGAGGCCTGTGCGGGGCAGCCGAGCTGGAGGGGCCTGGGGCTGCGGGCCAACCTGGGGCCTGAATCCAGTCAGTCCTGTCTGTGGGCCTCGGAGCCTGACGGGGGTCAGCGGGGGACTGCATGGACTGTGGCCAGCTGTGTGCTGAGCCTCAGTTCCCTCCTCTGCCCCACGAGGGTGGCGTGGGAGCAGCCAGGGGCTTGCCATGGTGCTCCCAAGGCCGCGTGCCAGTGCACCTGCGACGTCCCCTCTCCCTCCCCCAGTGCTGCAGCTGGTCCCAGTGACAGCTTCTCCATGTGATGAGTGAGCCAGGGGCAGAGGCCAGGCTGGAGTCCCAGGGACAGACGGGTGTCCCCCGGCCCCCACGGGGCCAGCCTGGAGCCTAGCTGCTCAGGGTGATGGGGGTTGTCTGTCCAGAGCTGGAGAGGACAGCGGACCGTGGTGTGGGCGGGTTGTGGGGAGCAGCCTCAGGAGACACAGGGGTGGCTCACACTTGAGTTGCTGGCAGCTTCCCTGTGGAGCTGAGCAGGCTCTTGCCACCCCCACAACCTGCCCCCCACGGTCTCCCCTTTGCCTTGGTTGCTAGCCTGTTATTGTCCAGCAGAACAGGGGCCTCACCTGTCAGGTGTCCGGCCCAATCCCCAGGGCCCTCAGCAGCTTGCTCGACAGATGTGTTGAATGAACCCAGACAAGTGGTCAGCGCCCCCAATCACAGGGGCCACTCCCCCTAGTGATAGAGGCCTGTGTCCTACACCCATGTCTGGGCCGCCCTCCTCCGGGCCGGGTAAGGACCCCCGTAAGCAGCCTGTCATCCTCTAGTGGCTCCCATGTGGGAAGTTGCTCCTGTCCACCAGGGTCATCAGCTGCTGCCCTTCAGCTTGCTGTCCAGGAGGGTCTCTGCCTGCTTGCCCAGCCCTGGACCTGCTTTTTGGCCAGGTGGCTGTGCAGGGCTGGGAAGGGGGCCTGGAGCCCCACAGACGCAGTGCCATCACCCGTGTCCTTTCCCCGCCGGCCCCACGCAGGGTCCCTGTGCCCAGACCGCTGGCCCAGAAAGCTGTAAGCAGTGTCCCTGTATCCCTTGCTTTCATCCAGCTCTGCTGCTTCCGCTTCTCCAGCGGAAGTGCTTGGCCCTGGGAAGGGGTGGCCCCGCCCCACCCCTCCGGCTTCAGCCCCGCC